TATATATATATATATATATATATATATATATATATATATATATATATTCCAACTGGTCCTTTAAAATATTATTATTACTATTATTATTTTTGTTATTATTATTATTATTATTATTATTATTATTATTATTATTATTAGTGCTATTATTATTATTATTATTATTATTATTATTATTATTATTATTATTATTAGTGCTATTATTATCATTATTATTATTATTTGATCAAGTATATTAAAATTAATAGTTATAACTTTTTACTCAAAATAATAATTTATACTTATGCATATCAGAATAAAGTAAAGCAGCAATAAAACTCTTAAGTAAAAAATAGAATTTCTATAAATTTTAATAATGTTGCTAAATAATAATTGGGTAATCTAAATAATAATATTATCACCAAGAATAAAAACGTAAAATAATATTATTATTTAGATTACCCAAATATTTATGGTCACGTTAGGTTTATCCTACTACTGGTAACATGTAACCAATTACAATCTGCTTCATGTCCTGCTGCCTTGTAGGATATGCCTTTTTAGGCAAAGGCTAGGAGATGCAAACTCCGACATAAAACACCCCCTGCCTTGGGGCTCTTGGTTGAGTAAAGGCTAGAGATGGTGTCTCGATAAAAATACTCATCTTGGGCAGATGTTACATGCATGCGGCTGCTGTCTTGTAGAAGGCCTCCTAGGCAAAGACTTAAGGGGTAAACAGATTCTATCTGTTGACCAGCCTTGCACCCCTTCTTCATCTATTAGGCTGGCGCAGATGTATTTTTAATACATTGTTTCCAGTTTAGGATGTTGAACGCTAGATCTTCTTGACTCGATTCATGGGTTTTGCTTGTGTCTCTGTTTTTGTGACTAGGCAACTCATTCTATTATCTCCAAATGCTCTACAACTCAGTTATATGGTTCAGCTACAGCTACTATGGTTCAACGTACAGCTCTAAAACTCAGTTTTATGGTTCTGAGGCCAGCTGATAGTCAGGTTTCCCGAACTCTGTGGTAGCTCTCAGAGAGGCTGATTCCATCAACAGCTGAAAAATATCAGAGTACTAACAGTGCCATGTTGCGCATGGATGGTGTCTCTGTTTGTACTTTTGGTGTGCATTGCCAAGGCCACATTGGAGCCCTTTGTTACGGCTTAGGGTTTATTAGTGGAAATGAGGCAATTGCTTGGGCTATAAAACAGTGTACTGAGTACTATCTATGTTTCGAGTCAAAATTTTTAACAAAATTTAAAAATGAATAAAGTAACAAAAACTATAAAACACAAAAAACCACAGTCATCACCAAGTTCGCTAAACCTATCATTCACCAATATTCGTGGTCTTCGAAGTAACTTTTCTTCTGTTGAGTCTTATCTCTTGCAAAGTTCACCAGACCTACTTGCTCTTTGTGAGACTAATTTGAGTTCAGCTGTTTCATCTTGTGATCTTAGTGTTGATGGTTATCTTAGTTTAATTCGTAAAGACTCCAATAGTCACATGCTAGGCCTGGGCATTTACATTTGTAAGAATTCACCCATTTGTCAGGAAACTAGGTTTGAATCCATAGACTACTCTTTTATGTGCTTTTGTTTAGCACCACTTCACTCTATCACCTTTCTCTTTGTTCTATATCGCTCTCCCTCATCTCAAGCTGCACTCTTCTTGATGTTATTTTGGATTATATTGACCAAGCCCTCATTCTTCACAAAAATTAGGCTCTCGTGACTTCTGGAGAATCTTTAATAGTATCAATAATAAGGGCAAGTCTGTAATTCCACCTCTTTTACATGGTTCAGACTTTGTCACCTCACCTAAGGACAAAGCTGAATTGCTTGCTAAGAACTTTTCATCAATAACATCTCTTGATGCCGCTAGTTGCGTTCTACCTGATAAAGCCGTCAAACAGGTTGATCCATTGCTCGACATTCGTATCATTCCAGCTTCTGTACCTAAAGTGATTTCCCGCTTAGACTCTTCTACAGCTTGCAGCCCGGACAACATACCTGTTATAGTCTTGCAGAAGTGTTCTTCGGAGCTGTCGTCTATCCTTTCAAAACTATTCAACAAGTGCTTATCAGAGTCTTGTTTTCCAGCTTGCTGGAAAGCAGCATCTATTATCCCTATTTTTAAAAATTCTGGAGAGCGATCTGATTCGTCTAACTAACGTCCCATTAGCCTTCTTCCTATCATAAGCAAGGTTTTTGAATCTTTAATTAACAAACACTTAATCTCGAATCTCGAATCTCATAACCTACTTTCTGATCATCAATATGGATTTCGATCTTCTCGTTCTACGACTGATTTGCTATCAGTAATAACCGATAGGTTTTATCGCGCATTAGATAAAGGTGAAGAGGTTAAGGTCATCGCTCTTGACATTTCTAAAGCGTTTGATAAAGTTTGGCATGCTGGTCTTCTCCATAAGCTTTCTTCTTACGGTGTATCTGGAAACATCTTTAAGATTATTGAATCCTTTCTTTCCAATCGTAGTATAAAAGTTGTCCTTGATGGACAGCACTCTTCTTCTTATTCTGTAACCTCAGGGGTTCCCCAAGGTTCAATCCTTGGCCCTATACTCTTTTTAATTTACATTAACAATCTTCCAGATATTCTCACATCTAAGGTGGCATTGTTCGCTGATGATACTACCATTTATTCTTGTCACGATAAGAAGCCAACTCCCTCTGATTGCTTGCAGGGGGCATCTGAGCTTGAAAACGATCTCACTTCTGTTACAGCATGGGGCTCACAGTGGCTAGTGAACTTTAATTCAGATAAAAAATTTTTCGGCCAATCGTTATCGCAATAATTTAGACCTTCCTATATTTATGAACGGTAATGTACTCGATGAGTCTCCTACCCTTCATCTTTTAGGATTAACTCTTACTTCTGATCTTTCTTGGAAACCTTATATCAAATCCGTTGCAAAATTAGCATCTGCTAAGGTTGCTTCTCTTTATCAAGCTCGTCACTTTCTTACTCTGGATTCTATTCTCTATCTCTATAAATCTCAAATTCGGCCTTGTATGGAATACTGTTGCCACATCTGGGGCGGATCTTCTAATGATGCTCTTTCTCTTTTAGACAAGGTGCAAAAATGCATTGTAAACATAGTTGGACCTGCTCTTGCAGCCAACCTTCAACCTCTGTCACATCGTCGTAATGATGCTTCTCTTTCTCTTTTCTACAAATACTATAATGGGCACTGCTCTAAAGAGCTAGCGTCTCTTGTGCCATCTACTAATATTCATTCTCGTGTAACTCGTCATTCAATTAAGTCTCATCCTTTTTCTGTTACTGTTCCTAAAACTCTTCTTTTTCTAGTTTTTTTCCTCGAACATCAGTTCTTTGGAATTCACTTCCTTCATCTTGCTTTCCTGATTCATATAATTTGCAATCTTTTAAGTCGTCTGTCAATCGTTATCTTGCTCTACAATCTTTATCTTTTCTCTTCCAATAACTTTCAACACTAATTAGTGGTTGCTTGCAGCCTTGTTGGAAGCGAAGATAATTAAAAAAAAAAAAAAAAAAAATTATTGTTGGAATATGATTCTATGTAAAGTAAATTAATTAATCAATTTCTCTTCGAAATGATCAATACATGTTCCAAAGAATTTAGATGGTTTCCAATTAATTTTGGGTTGCTTTAAATTTTTTTTGCTGTTAATAAACTTGATTCATTGGGAGCGTAAATTTATGTCTGAGGGAAAATTAAATACTGTTTTAGTTATAAAACCCTCTTCAGTATTGTTACTGCTTCTGCAAGCAACTACACAGCATTTTTTAGGCAGTTTATAAAACAAACAAATAATATAAAAAATATAAAATAAAAGTTTGTTTTTATTACAATAACTACAGTTATAACTCTTTTGAGAACCACTTTAAGCAAATAAAGAACTAGACTAAAAATTGGCCTACTAATTATTGGACTTGTAAGCAACAAGTCTAATAATGTATTAACAAGTCCGGCAATGTATTTAAGTAGGCGATGATATTCTTGCATTTTTAAAAATGTTTTCTTTTTTATTTTGATATCAGGAACTTCACTTTTTTGAAAGAAGAATTGGCATTTCACATTAAATATTAATAAATATTTTATTTTGGCATTTTTATTTTGGTGAGCATTATTATTAGTCTGATTTACACTAAAAGCAGCCATTTTTAATCATACAAGTAAAAACAAACTGTTTTTACTTGTATGATTAAAAATACAAGTTTTGCTTTTGCTCATAAGCAATGGCTTATGAGCAAAAGCAAAACTTTATTTGAGTTTTTGGTTTAATTGCTTTTTCGGTTCTTACTTTTACTCAGAGCAATTTTTTAATTCAGCTTATAATAAACCTTATAACCTTATATCTCAGCTAACATTATATCTCAATAAAATTTGTTTATTTGGTGGAATTCAGCTAACCTTATATCTCAATAAAATTTGTTTATTTGGTGGAATTCAGCTAACCTTATATCTCAATAAAATTTGTTTATTTGGCAGGATTTGAATCTTTAATTTCAATTAAGAAGATACTCTCATATAATAAAACAAATGCTTATAAAAAAAACTTTTGTATTCTGAACTATAAAAACTGCTGAAGTAATTAAAAAATAACAAACCATTAAAAACAGATGAGAAACCTGAGAGATCATTTTCTTTATCACCCATTTTTATTTTTATTTTAAATTTTTTTAATCATGCTTAAAAGTAAGTTTGTGTTCTCCCTAAAATATGAAAACTTTTATTGGTAAAATTTATACCTAGTTTTAAAATTTATATTAAATTTATGAATACAAGATTTTATTTTGAAAATGTTTAAGCACTGCTTATATTTAGTTTTAATCTACAATTAAACAATACTTTGTTGTTACTTGGTACAACTTTGAGATTTACATAATAATGTAGAGTCTTATCTTTAAATTAGGACTTAATTTTAAGAATATTTCATTTAAAATATAAAATAAACATAAAACAAGTAAAAAAAAATTGTTAAAAAAATAACCAAACAGAATAAGCACCTTTAGCACCAGCTCGAAAAATATTTTCAAGCGCCATGCATAATCTATGTACCAGCAAATTGTCATCATTAAGTGGAACTGATTCTTTGGAATGAACACTTAGAATGCTTGCCACAAGTTCTAATAAATATAAAAAATATATAAATATATTCAAATACATAAAATAAAAAGTCCAATTTTATTTCAAATCTTTGCTGCAATGTTAAAAAATTCAGGCAGCATTACGCTGTATGGATTTTATATATGGCAATTTCACATACTCAGCAGTTTATTTTTAGCCTTAACCTCTTGGAGTATTTAAATTGATTTTTGATATTGTTTATGTAACGTTTATTTTGTTAATATTAAATCATAATTATTGTTAAAAACATATTAACCACATATGAGAACTTATTTTTTATAAAAAAAAAGATTAGTAAATAAATTTTTTTTCTTAATAAAAAACTTTAAACTTAATATAATTTTGAAAATTAAAAAAAAATAATATTGCATTAATTCATAAAGAAAAAATTTTTTTTATTTTATGCAAATTAATTCAATACATTAAAGCGTAAAACCATTATATATTAAAAAAGTGTGAAAGTAACCAAAAGTAACCAAAGGTAACTGAAAGTAAACAAAAACAACAAAAAGACGTGTTACTTAAAACTAAAAACTTCATTTTTTGTTTTAAGAAAGAAGCAATACTTTTGTTTAAGAAAATTCTTTTCACAAATGTATTTAAAATTTTCTGTTTCTTATAATTCTTATGTAAAATTCTTATGACATAAGTTTTAATTATTATGATAAAATCTTAAAAAAAAATAGTTTAATAAACTACCTAATACAAAAAAATTTATTTTCCTAATCTAGCACTATAAGTTTTTAAAAGAGTTTCTTGAGTTTGCTACATATTTTTAATCAAACGGAATTCCATCATATTCAAGAGCAATCAAATGGAATTCTATTCAATTACACTTGAATATTGTAATCACTGTACTTATAAACATAAAAGTATGTAATCTAAAACTCTATATCTAGATACTATAACTTAATCCAAAAAAAATTCATAAAGCGTCAACACTATGAGTAACATACTTAATTGAGAATTGTATATTCAGAAACAAAGACAACAAAAACAAGAACTTTCATAACACCATTTTTTCATATTAAAAAAGACAACAAAAACAGAGACTTTAATAACACTATTGTTTAACAGAAGAATTACTAAAATAAATTAAAAAAAAACTCTGAACATAACAATGACTGAAGCACAAATAATGACAGGTTTTTATAGAAACATTTTTGTTTATATTTGTTTTATTTTTTCTTATTATTTGTTTTCATAAACATACAGTTAAACCATTAAGGCTAAAATAACAAATTTAAAATTATTTTGTAATAATCTAGTCATTATATTAAAACTATTTTGGAAGACGAATGAGTTAACAAAGAGTGTTTAATTCATACAAAGCATTTTTCATTTTAATTAAGATTAATAAATTGCAAAACTTCTCAATAAGAAAACTGCAAAATCAGAAATTTAAAGAATACTTAAAAGAAGGAGAAATTTAAAGTAAAAAAAGGAGAAACAACTTAAGATAACAGTAAGACTAAAATAAAGTTCCAAATCATTTGTTAATAAAAAATCAGCTCAACAGTTTAATTTTTTTTTTTTCAATTTTTTTCTATAAACTCAACATCTTGTTTAGTTTCAATACTTTTATTAATCTATTACCTTTCTTAACATAATCACATTGTTTTTCTCTCCGCAAGTTCCATACAATTGGTTACCTTGTTTTCCAGCATTAAAATAGCTTTTTCTGCAATTTTGACTTTTTAATTTAGCTTTTCAATATCAACTTTGCATTAGTTTTTATTCCTGCTCTGTTTTCTCTTTCTTCTTTATAGCATTATCCAATTCAATCATATATTTTAAAAAAAATTAAAAAGTATGCATCAAAGGACTAGGCTGAGCTGTCAAGCCCAAGTGAAATAAGGAAAAAATTAGGAAAAGAGAAAGGGTAAAAAAATTAAATTAAAAAGATATTTTGAACATTCAGAGCAAAACAAAGATACTAAAGTATATTAAAAAAATAATGATAATTTAGACATCGCGCATGTAATAGAAATTTTAAACTCAGATTCATAATGGAAAATCATGACCAACCTGCAAAGTCTAAAAAAATGCGAAATTAAAATACGAAGCTTAACATCATATGCTCAGAGCAGGGATTGAACCAGGAACTTATGGTTTATCAAGCCAACCCTCTAACCGTTGTATCAGCAACAACATCAAGCTATAGATATTGTTGCTGATACAGAATAATAAACATTAAAAATATAATAAAATCAACAACAAAATTAAATGAAAATGAAATAAAATAGAGTACAAACAAAACAAAGACAAAGTACTTAAATATGTATATATATACACACATACATGTACACACATATATATATACACATTTATACATACCCATACACATACAAATACACTTATATAAATATATACATACATATAAACATATACATACATACCTATACACGCACATACACACACACACACACACACACACATATATATATATATATATATATATATATATAGATATATATATATATATATATATATATATATATATATATATATATATATATATATATATATATATATATATAGATATACATATACATATACATATACATATACATATATACACATATACTTATACATACATATATAAAAACGAAAAGGGGAAAGTAGAAAGATAATAAATATCATGATGTTGTAAGATCCAATTAAAATTAAGTAGTGGACTAATGAAGGTGAAACTCTATCCTCAGGGCCACAATATATTCACCAATGTTTTGGAGAGCCTGATAAAAAATGGCTAGCATCGCTCGTCAGGATGCATCTTTGCTATCTTTATCATCACCTGTAGCCTAGATCATACCAGTCATTATTGCAATAAAATGGACCTCACTACAGAAAAGCCACCCACCCACACCCCTCCCAAATTTAGGCAACACCAATAATTTTTAGAAAAAAATGGGGATATAGAGACAAACATGGATAAAAAGTATATCTAACTAATCTAACAATAATAAACAATAATATATAGTGTGAAAAAAATTTTTAGTGTAAATACACATTAAGATATGAAAAGTAAAAAGATAAGTATCTTACCATACTTAATAAGTTTATAAAAAAATTTTTTAAGAAGTAGACAGCTTATTATTGTAGCTGACAGACGTGAAACTGAAAATAAAACTCCTGTCAAGAAAAATAAGACTAATTGAAGACATAGCAGTGCTAACAATAACAAAGTGACTTGGCGACGTCAAACAAATAAAAAATACTTGCAATTCTATTGGCTAAAAACATGTTCCAGGAAAATTTATAGTTTAACAGTTAATAATAAAACTCTAATCTTACAAAAATTATCAGGAAATTCAATATTGGAATAGGATTAAGGTATTAATTATATGTAGTAAAATAAAACATATGAAACGATTATAAGGTAATATTGGTATAGAGTAAAGTTTATAAATAGATACGCATGTGTGACCAATGCAAAGATAATGACATATTAAAAATAAACAGACTAGTAATATATTCAAACACCAAATAATTAAAATTTATAAAAATGGTCTTAACTTCGTATGTATATATTATTAATGGGCCGAATGTATTAAAATATCTTTAATTAATGCTGTATTGAAATAGGTGGGTGTGGTTATCGATGGAAATATTTCTACTGAATAGGGGTCATCTCTAATAATATGTCAATGCTTAACAACAATTATTGATATCTCTCCCAATATCACAATAAGGAGTCACTATGGGTAATCTACATCTATATTTGTAAGGAGTTTATTAATAAGTTGATTTTGACTAAATTGCAAAGCTTAAGTAAACTGCAAATAAATATCTTTCACTGTGTAACTCAATGATTTGCGTTAAAGCTAGTAGTTCTTTAGAAAGATTTTCTTTTGTTAATTTTTGTAACTCTGTAAATGTAACTCTTGGCTGTATATAATGCTTTTCTTTAGATGGTATGGGTGATTACATTCATGATGTAGATTGCTTATCATACCTGTTGCATAGATCATCCAGGTTATATTTTATAAATCCGGAAAACTGTAACGGGTAAAATCTCCGGAAAAAATACGGAATATATTTTCTTTTAATTTTCTCTTAATTTTGCTTTTAGCTGAGTAGCTTCCAAGTTTTTTTAAAACTTCACCTAATTTTGTATGAGTGATGAGTGAAAAAACTTAAAAAACAAATATATTACAAAAATATATACCTAAACTTGTATGTATGGAAAATGTTTTGGATATTCGGAATAACAAAAAGTAAGGAAAAATATCTGGAATTCCGGATTTATCCAGAAAAAGATAATCCCTGCTGTTGACTTACTGTATAAAGTACTTTGAATACGTCCATATCTGTCCTTATAAAGTGACATGGCCAAAAAATTAATTGAAGAGTCAGATTCATTAAAAATAAATTTAATAGCTGAGTGGATCCCATTCATATATCCCAATAGTTGAGTGGATCCCATTCAGTTATGTACCTCTTGTAATTCTTCCATAGATCCATAAAACAAGAAAAAAATATCATCAATGTAACGTTTATAAAAAGAAATCGAATTGGGATCAAATTTTATCAACTAATCTACCCAAAACAAGTTAGCATATGGCGGCACCATTCTTGTACCCATTTATGTACCATAAATTTGTTATATCAGCAAATTGGAAAACGCTACATAAAAGAATGGTTTCTAAAATTATACTAATATAGGCTAAAGGTGGACATAATGGTGATCTCTGATGAATTGGAATTTGTTTCATATAAAAGATGGTAGCTCCAATTCCATCTTGATGTAGGATATTGGTATAGAATGATGTGACATCTGCTGTTGCAAAAAAATAGTTAGAAGAGATAAATTAGTGGGATTGAAGCATATGAAGAAAATAATAATTTGATATATGAGGGGAGAGAGTCTGCCACTGGTTGTATAAAGTGTGTGATAAGTTTAGACAAATGGTCCGTTGGGCTATTACATGCTGAAGCAATAGGTCGTAAAGATATACCTTCCTTGTGAGTTTTCAGTAATCTTTAAAAAATTGGG